CAACCTGCAGCTCGGCCAACTGGGCCTTCAGCCGTAGATACTCAGAGTGTTTTCGTTTGTACGATGACCGGAGATTTCAAAGATGATCAACCAGCGCGACCACCGCACAAGCATTCTATATCCGAATACAATAAGTATACCAAGAAAGAGAACGAAACACAAGGAATAAGAAGAGGGGACTTACTTGTGTTGCAGACCGTAGCAGCGCACACTCTAGGGCTCTGCTGTCGACCCTGATTGATTCCCGAGCTATTGACATTGTCATGATTCCCTGCAATAAATTTTTGGGAACCCCAAGTGTCTCCAGATTGTCATCCACATGAACTGACCACCTCGGTACATGCAGACCCGAGCTGCTGCCTGCCTTAGTTACCGACGCACCTACGGGATGATGAACCCCTTCAGGGTCGACCACGACAATGTCATCCTCCTTAGCCTCTCGCTGCCAGACTTTCCTCTGCCAACGAGCCTCCCTGTCCGTGGAACGTGGCCGCTCTCCTGTTTTGGGACGAGCTTCCGGTTGCACACCGGCTCGCTCCTGCCTTTGTCGAAGTGCCTTCATCCGGCAAACAATCTCTTCTTCGCTGGCCATACTTATACTTGCAACACAGGAAACCCAAGGTAAGTAAAAGGCAGGAAAGATAAATTTAACTCATTGAATGAATGGTAAAGGAAATAGACCAGCCACCATCTACATCAGCCCGACGAGCATCAGCATCTCCGAGCATGTGTACGCAATAATGTCAATTTCATGGATCATGCTTAGGGCCGACCTCTCCTTCCAAGTGACCGCCGTTCATTGGGGCTGCAGTAGAATCGTCCTCGGCTCCTGCAACTCAGTAGGAAAAGGGGAACCCTTGGGAATGTGCATCAAGAAGAACGACTCCTTCCAGTGCTTAACGAAGGAAGGGACCCTGACCAAAGACCGAATATTCCGCCGAGTGAAGTAATAGTAGCCCTATTGGTGGTGTTTTAGCTGGAGCATAAAGTTCACCATCCCCAGGGTCAACTCAACATCGCGAACGACACAGTAGGTCATAAGGCCGAGCAAGAACCTAAAGGAGTTTGGCATCAGCTACACTGGCAACACCCTATACTAGTTTAGCACATCGGCGAACCCCTCGCTCAACGGGAACCTTACCCTAGCTTCCAAGTTGTGCTCATAAATGCATAGTTCAATGGGCCGAGCATCAGTGGCCATCTCCTCGGGAAGCAGACACCTCATTTGGTATTCCGTGGGAATGGCGTACGTAGCTCGGATCCGATTCATTTGGTATTCCCTAAAGATCAACAAATACTAATTGTAAATGAGAAGATATAGAAGAACCATTAGAAACAAAAGGCAACTCATGACTTTTACCCATGGGACAAGATGGGCAGAACATCATTGACTTATTTGAACTAACTGGTAATCTATTTTCAGTAACCACTTGTCGCACTATACTTGGAGTAGAATTAGTGTTGTTCACGGATCGGGTTGGGTCAGTTTACTGGCGCTTTTCCAACCGACCTGACCTAGTTGGTTTACTTAGAAATGAAACTGAAACCGGCCCAATACTAAGTAAAACCTAGTCGGTTTGAATCGGTTTGGGTCGGTTTTGTGAATGATTCTCTCGGTGTGAACGGTAAAGGATTCAAGTCTAAGAAAGTAAAGGCTGGATGCTTGGAAATTAAAAATGATTTGATGAATTAAAACTGAAATATATATATATATATCCAAAACTGAGCCCAACAGTCGGTTTATGTTTTTTTGTAACCCAAAACTGATCGGTGCTGAAGAAAAATCGGCCAATTCGGGTTGGTTGGTTTGGTCGGTTTGGGTCTTGTTATGAACAACCCTAAGTAGAATGTCCTAACCATTGATGCCATATATCAATGGTTGCACGTTCCCTAACAAAAGCAAAGTTCTCCTTTGAGTTTCCTAGCTTCAACTGATAGAGTCTATTATTATTTGACCCTTGTAGAAGAATTTTCTTCGTTTCCCAGTCCTTCACTAGAAAGAAATGATGATGAAATTTAAAAATACATTGTTATTGTTATCTACTGAAAATTGTGCTATAGATAAGAGATTCTGTGTAACTTCTGGAACATGTAAAACATTTTTGAGAACAAGAGAATGTGAAGGGGTTTGTAAAGTAGATGGACCAATATTCTTGATTTGCAAACCTGTCCCATTTGCAATGTGAATTTAATCTACTCCTGTGTATTCATAATGAAGCTTCAGATTGGAAAGATCTTATGTAAGATGATTTGTATCTCGTGAGTCCGGATACCAACTTCCATCATTAATAGAGGCGGCCATATTGACAGAATTTGCAGCTTTCTCATTTTTTTGTCCAATTTTGTGATATATGAAGTAGTTGTTCCTTGTAGTGGGTTTTTCTTCTTACAGATTTGGCAAGTCATAGGAGAGGATACCATATTGCCATCATCAAATTGAGGCTTCTTCTTTTGTTGTGATTTATTTGCTTGCCCTTTATTCTTATTGTATCCTGACTTTTCTTGTTGTTGTCTATGCTGAGTAACTTGGAACATTGGAAATGTTGGTTTTAGGGCGAATCTTCAAGGCTTCTAACCTAATCTCATGATTATATAACATATCTTGTAAATCATTAAAGGAAATTTCTTCAGATCGAGTACTTACAGATGTGATAAAAGATTCATAGTCTGAATCGAGTCCGATAAGAGTGCGAATCACAAGATCATAATTTGAAACCGGTTGACCAACCATTGATAATTTGTCTGAAATAGCCTTGGCTCTACGGAGATATTCATTCATATTGAAATCGCCTTTCCTCAGATTCATGAATTCAATGTGCAATTGCATGATTCTAACTCTAGAACGAGAGGCAAAGATTTTTTCTAGACTGCACCAGGAAGCTTGAGTGGTGGTGCATCCAATTACTTGCCCTAGAATGCTTTCTAAGATTGTTGAGAGCATCCAACTCAATAAGAGTTCATCTTGTTTTCTCAATTGTATTTAGACTTTATTGGGAATAGTATTACCATCTTCTTGAATGGTCTGGGATGGACAAGGGAAGGTACCATCTGCATAACTAAGTAAATTAGACCCAAAGAGAGCAGGAAGAACCTGTGGTCTCCAGGTCAAATAATTATATTGGTCCAACTTTACTGTTACAAGTTGACCAAAATTCAATGTTGAAGATGCATACAAGCAGAGAGAGTTTCTCCGTATTTCCATCTTCTTGAATGGTCTGGGATGGACAAGGGAAGGTACCATCTGCATAACTAAGTAAATTAGACCCAAAGAGAGCAGGAAGAACCTGTGGTCTCTAGGTCAAATAATTATATTGGTCCAACTTTACTGTTACAAGTTGACCAAAATTCAATGTTGAAGATGCATACAAGCAGAGAGAGTTTCTCCAGTTGTCATAGCTATGGCAGCAGGCGAGGATGAGTTGTTGTTGCTGTTGCATGACGCCATCTGCAGCTCTGATACCATAAAACAAAAACATATAGTGAGAAAAACAACACCCCAACGTGAATTGCATTGCTGTGGTTCAAATACAATAAAGGTGAGGAGTTTGAATGAAACTCTATCACGATCTAGATTCTGGATAAGCCTTATCTTTTCCTTATCTAATAGACGATCATTTCAGGAATGGGCAAAAGCCCATTATAAAACAACACAGCACACACGCCATACCACAGCCCATTGCTTGATAAGTTGAACGGAACGGGCCACCTACTGTTCAAGCCTTTATATTGAAGGCTTCACTTTCAGGCCGAAGCCCATCTATGAAAAATGAAAATTTATTTGTCCATGCCCATTGTACAGAAAAATGACAAACACATCTTTCTAAAGCTAAAATAATAACAGTGGCATAGAGAGCTAGAAGGAGAAGAAAAACCTAGAGCAGTCAATGGATCGAGGGGCCGATCAGCCTGATCTTGTAAGGGAAGGATGCTGGGCCAGGCAGAGAGGTAGCAAGGCCCCGTATGCTAGCACCGGCAGACTTGATGCATCCATAAGCGGTCCTACGTATACGATGATGAGATCCATTTTAGTATGTGTTTGTTGATGAGATGAGATCCATGAACCATCCAAATCTATACTCTCTGGAAATGGGTAATAACAATCTATATGAACATGTTGTTTCTCTTAAACTATACAAGCAGTTAAATTCATGCCAGCCATGAACCTCGATCGTTCTTCTATCTACCTACTTATTTCTTTTCTTGGTCAGTGCAGGTTATAACTGTTTGGAATTTAATCTCATCAATAGGTTTGATTGACAAATTAGATGGAAAAAACACACCTACACATATCTTAGAAAATAGTTTTTTTTCTTATTATAACCAAATTTCAACTTGTTTTATATTGGTAAATTATTAAACTAATTTTAAAATTTTTAGGAATTTATTTACATTTCTTAGAAAGTGTGATCAAGAGATTATTCAAACTCAATAGTCATTAACCGTTAACTATTTTTTTACAGTCATAATGTTTGAAATTGTGATTGTTCAAATAACCTTTTATCAATCAATACTTTCTTCTCCTTCATGACTCTTTAGAAACCATTTAAGGAGTATGAATGAAGTATTTGAATCACATGCTTCTCAAAAATCACTCTCATCTCTCTCTCAGTTTGATATGCTATTACTCTCTCACAAAAGGTTTTCTTCAAGGTTTTTCAACTTTGTTAGTTGCAGATTCTCGCTTAAGATTCTATTGTATTTTGGAAATGAATTTGCTTATAATCCAACAATAAACATGATGAAGCGCGATCTGACTGCTCCCTACTGGAGGATGATCTAGCTTCTAGTTGGACGGTGAGATAGGTGAATCTACAAGACAATATCAGAGAACCCGGGTGGCTAATCCGGCGAGATCGCTCCAATACTTAAGCTGATGCGAGCTGAATAACTTTGAGAATTTAAAGAGTTAGAGAGGTAGAGAGTAGAAAAATGATGCATGCCAAAAGAAATTAATTATGGCTATCTATTTGGAATTAATTATCTGTTTTATTATTATAGGTAGCTATGTATTGAAAGTTTGATACATTCAAGTAGTCAAATTACAAAATGAATTAATGTGGCCAACCGACCCATTCGCCTTCCTTATCTCCTCGCTCTATATATGTGAATTTCAGACTTTGTTTCCGTGTGGATCTCACCAGAGCGCCTTTTATTCTAACAGACCATGAATTAGATTAAAATCATTCTCAACGAGTTTATAAGAAGTGATTTAATTTTTTTTTTTTTTTGATCGATTCAACAAAACAACTTAAAAGATAAAGAATCAAGTACGGAGAAATATAAACAGGTTCAATACAGATATCTGATTTCCACTGCAGAGTTATAAATATTCAAAATCTCAAAAACATACATTTTATGCATTCATACCACCCTTAAATTGGCTTCAAATCTGAACTGATATCTACCTCAAATATACTTTGAGCCTATAAATTCTGACCATAGTCTCCCAATTAAGTATTAAGCGCCATGTAATGATCTTCAATTTCTTACATTACCCTTTTCATTTTCCCTAGCTCTTTGTAAGGCTTTTCCCATGGCTATAGCCTATAGATTTGAAATATGCTATATTGGTCTCGAAAACCCAATTTCGTGTCTATAGAAGAAGAGTGCTTCTCTTAAAGTGTAGACAGCCTTTAGAGAAACAGCACCCATGTTGGCGGGAGAACACCTCCTTAATTAATTAATAACTCAAAACAGTAAATATGTTACGGATTCATTCAAAACATCTATATGCCTTTTCGTTTTATTTGATAAAGTTCTACAAATTAAGCTGAATTACAGGATTAATATTCACGTAGAGGTTGCCCTCATGAACATGTTTAAATTAAGGCCAAGTGGAATAAGATTATCATGAACTTGGTTCTTTTCAAGGTTTTTAAAATAGAACGGGACAACAAATCGGTCATAAATCCGGTTTTCGAATGGTTCAATCGCCCGAATCAGTGATTTATTGATCAAATCAACAGTTTTGAGGAAAATAACGATTCTAAGATAAAATGAAATCCCAGTTTTTCTAATCTAATCGTTTGATTTAGTCCGATTTTAAAAACCATGGTTCTTTTTCATAAATTAAGGCTTAGGAGAGGGAAAAAATAAGAAAAGAATTTAAAATAGGAGTGGAAGACCAACTCCACATGTAGCTTATTAGTAGGCGATCGTGAGAAAAGTGAACATCGCAATAACAAGAGAATAGCATTCTCATGAAGCGCTACACAATACCATTATAAACAACAATATAATTAAGGGACCAAAGTAAACAAACTGGTGCATAATTTAAATTGGCCATGCCATGGCCCACACCATGCCATCTAGTACCTTATTAATTCTTGTACCATTAAAAAAAAAAAAAAAAACTCTTATCTATCCCCACAACACATTTACTTACTCTTTAGGTAGACATTGCCATGCCCTCCATCATCAATTAATTTCGCAACCTGCAATATATATAAAAAAAAAAAAACGGCGGTTTTATTGTCAGTCTGTTACTCCGTTAATTAATTAATTGGATGGATGGATACCATTGGACTAGCATGCATTATAGTGTACTCTCTAGACAGGATAGGGTGGGGTCCCGGACCAGAGCAATAACATCCACCGACTTTACCAACTCAACGAAATGGCATCGTCGATGGGACCCAGTCGAGTGCAACTGACTGGGTTAGGAATTAGGGTTGGTTTATTCGTGTGGGGAGCCGAGTTTGCATAATTACGTACCAACAGGTTTAGAGCTGGAGGAGACCCGGCTTGAACCGGGCCGGGGCTGTTTGGATAAGGCTGAGTTTTCAGAAACCCAAATTTGGATAAGGCTGGGTTTGGTTTCTGAAATTGGGGATGGATAATTGAGTTATCTTGCGTGGTTATTGAGTAGGTAGCTAGTGAACAACATGTGATCCGAAGAAATGAAAACAGAAAAGTTTGCTTTTGCTTTTGCTTTAATAAACAAAAGCAAGCAAAGAGCCAGAGATAGATCATGGGGTTTAAATATATAAAAAGAAAAGCTGAAGAAGATAACAACAATTAATTAAACATAGAAACGTACGTAGAGCAGACGATGGAGGGTTTGATGGAGATATTAGGAATGGTGACCCCGCAGCTTGTAGGAAGTTGAGCTGCCCTGTTGAGATTATATGAAAAGCCATGCCTAGTTATAGATTCTTTGTAGGCATCCAGTATGCATTTACATGTTGCTCGACGGTCCTGCACTGTCTTCACACTTACGCTTATCAATTTCACGGCCTTGCAACAGTCGCCGGTCAGACGACCATTTTGTGTCAGGTAGGGCAGACACGAGCGTAGTTGCGTTTCCACCTCCTTACATTGCAAAGCCGCTTCCGCACTAGGAATATCAACCACCAATATTAATATACCCCCCATTACAACTGCACAGAAGAGCTTCACGACTACTGCACGCCCACTCATGGCTAATAGAGTAAATAAACACTCCTTGATCTATTTTTCTATTTCGAGACTCCGAGAGGAATCACTCGCAAGTCGCAATAATAATATGGGTTGAGGGATATCGTATTTATAAAGGGACGGGGGGGTGGGCGTAAATTCAATACCTACCGTAACTATAACTAACTGCTAACCAGCCATTAAATATCATTTAAAAAAGACATAAATGTCTTTCAAATCTTATCTAATTTTGTTTATAAATTATGGTTTTCAAAATCAGATCAGACCAGAAAAATCGGAAACCGATCAGGTTAGGTGACCGGTTCCGTTTTTCCCAGAATCTTTGATTTTGGTTAACAAACCGCTGAATCGAGTGTTTAACCATTCAAACCATTTGAGCCATTCAAATCGTTTGAATGATTTTGATCATTTTTTATTTTTAAAATTTTTTAATTTTTTTTATCAAAACGGGCCAAACATTCGGTTCGAATGATTAGACCATTCGCCCTGATAACCGGACCCCTGACCGATCTAATCTTTAAATCGATTGTAAAAACCATATTATAAACCATCGTCTAAACATTAACAAAAAAAAATCAAAATCCCAAATCTTTAACCTCTTCTATTCAATTCAAAATGTCTACCGACACATAAACCCCAAACTCTCGTGGACCGTTAAACATTTAAATAACTTTTTCGAATGCCACTTAAGAGCCGATAAGCGAAAGATATTGGATTAACACGTTTAAAAAATGCCATAATAATTTTCAAACTCTCTGTGGCTGTACCACTCTGCCATTACAATAGCAGTGTGTCAGAGGACCCACTTGATTATTACAATCTTTAATTGAATTTTGGTCCGATTAAAAAGTCCATTTCTCGCACTTTTTACTTTTTTTGACCGATCCGTACTTTTTAACTTTTTACAAACATATAAAAGTTTTACTCCTATATAAATGCATGCATTACTGTATACGGAGAGATCATATCTGCGCCACACAAGAGGGCGCCCCACAATGCCCTGGCCTTGTATTGGAAATATCTCTCGATGGGGAGGGAGATGTTCCCAATACAAGTTGTGGAATGTGCTGTGAGGCATTGTGGGGCGCCTCTCATAAGGCGCCGATGTGAATTTGTTTACAGATGGGAGGCTCCAAAGAATTCGGCTTTTGTCGGGGGCAAGTCGGTGCTTGAACCGTTCGAATAGCCCCTTGCAACTCAGTATTGAAAATATCTTTTATGAAATAAATTATATATAATATAGAGATATTCTTAACGTAAGGCTGTCAAGGTTGTTGGAGCAGGCTTTGCCCTGATTGAAGTTGGACTCGATTCTAGATTAACAGAGTTTGATTCATTCGAATCTGCACTCCATGTGATGGTGATTCGGGATTTTCTGCCCACACCTATTCATAATACATCACCCTCCATGAATTGGGAACATCACTCCCTGCATAATACTATTTAGAAGATGAGATGTTATCCATATGTGACTGTAATAAACGTGGGTAGGATTCTCGTGGACAGGAGATTCGAACTCCGTGATAGTGTCCAAAAACGTCCCACACAATAACACTGCTTGTACATTTTCTAATCTATACCCCACAGGATAGAGATCGAATCTAATCCTAACATAAGGCGCCTCACACATACATCCTATCATGCATTGAGAAGATCTCCCCGTACTTAATAAGTTATTTTTCACGAGAGATACTCCCAATGCATGATGGATGTGCATGTGAGGCAGTCAAATGTGAGGAGCAGATCCTGTTCCCACAGGATGGCGCCCAAAAACATTTACACAATAAGCCCTTACCACGTGTCTTTTCACACGCTTCTAACTTTTAACTCGTGCGGAGCTAACGGAACGTCCGTTGGCTTGTCCTGTTACTCCAAAATATCGTGTGCCCTCAGTTCCCTCTCTTCTCACGACCTTTATGTTCCTGCAACCCTCTGCCTGAACCCTCCACCTCCTCCTCCTCTTTTATCCTCGGTTTCTACGCCGACGACCACTCCGGCAACGACCGTCCTTCTCATCTCCTCTGTTCACATTTTATTTTTTTTTTCAACACAAAATCAGAAGGGAAGGGTCGTCGGTGACCACCCGACCATTGTTCAAGTGCATTTTTTTTTCTTTCATTCTCGTTTTTTTATTTTTATTTTGTATTTTTCTCCAACCTGTGATATGTATGCGAATCTAAAATTTTTTATGATATATTTGGCTCCAGATATGTTGTGGTTGAAGTTGCACCTGAGGTTAAATGGATTCCTGAGAATTATAACCGATAGAGGATTACAGATATATTTGGTTCCAGTTACATTTCACATGTACCAAAAATGTTCTTCCACTCCCAGGAGACGACTACTGAATGCTCAATAAAATAATGGAGATCAAGTGCAATGAAATGAAAAAATTCATGTATCATTTCGCATGCCAACATTTCCAAGTTACTATAAACTTGAAGCACTAGAAATGGATTAAACTTGGTTAGAAATGCACAGGAAAAATAAAAAAAATAATAATCAAAGAATTACACACCCGTTCTCGGCTGAATCTCCCCTTTTTCGACAGGAAAAAAAATTCATTACAGTGTAAAATCCCCTAATGTCCTATGCGCTCGTCAAAATAGTCGGGTGGTTGCCGGTGAGCCTTTATGGTTTTGTCTTGAAAAAAAAAAAGTTAAAATGTGAACAGAGGAGATGAGAAAAACGTTCGTCAGCGGAACGGTCATCGCCATGATCGTCGGCATCGGCGCCGGGGATGAAGGAGGAGGAAGAGGTGCAGGGTTTAGATAGAGTTACACGAAGAGTAAGGTTGATAGAAGAGAGAACAGAGGGCATGCGGTATTTTGGAGTAACGGGACAAACTAACGGACGTCTCGTTAGCTCCGAACAAATCCAAGAGTTCAAATCAGCCCCCCACAGAGGGCGCCCCACAACGGAATCGCATCTGCTCTTCACATATGGTGCCTCACACCGACCTGCACATTCCCGTGTGAGGAGCAGATTCTAATTCCCCCACAACATCCCATAGGGCATAGCACATCCCCCTGTGCAACTTCGGCGATCCTAATGCTAGCACAATTTCATCCAATCCAAAATTTTTTTTAGGTTCAGTTTGGAAGGAGTATAAATACGAATTTGTACAGTATAAATATATACAAAATGTAAGGTTTTACATTCTACAAATTTGTATTTGTATTCTTTCCAAACAGAGCCTTAGGTTTAATTTAGTAGAAATACAAATACAAATATACAAATATGCATAATACAAATGTAAACAAAATAATGCAAAAATAAGGTTTTGCACTTTACATATTTGCATTTGTATTCCTTCCAAACTGAGCCTTCAGGATTATGGCTGTGTAATGTATTTATAAATTCCTTCAAACCTAACCAATGCCCAATCCAACTAAGCCAGACCCAACTATCTGAGTTCGAGACCAACGCAAGTTATATTAGATTAAGTTTGAATTAGGCCTGGTTGATAAATTTGCGCCTAACCACATGTTTAACCAGGCCCAAACTCAAAATTTGCATTTTAAAGATTGGGCCTAGATTGACCTTCGACCCAATCAACCAGAGCACGAAACTACCAAAGATTGGACCTGGGTTGACCTTCGACCCAATCAACAAACTACCCGAATTGTGTTGGATTAAATTTGGGTTGGAATAGGTGAAAATATAGCTCATAACCCTCATATATTTCAGCATGAAAAATTTTCTGACAATTTTATATTCCAACAAACAATTTCCACCATCCAATAAAATATATAAAATGAAATAGTTATTATCTTTTAAGTACTACTTGACCGGATCTTGATGATCCACCCGACAGGACCCATCCCATAGTGGGCCTTACCAAAAAAAAACAGTATCACTAAGTGATGATGTACAATCTGGCCGGTCTTAGCTGTTAACGATCTTGTCTCTAAACTGAGTAACAGGGACCTGAAACGGAAGGAGAAGAGAAGCTCCGGGGAGGACCCGGCGTAAGGGCTCCGAAACTCAAGTTAGAATCCTTCAAAGGCAAGATAAACCAGATAGCGCAAAGTTTGCATACCTCGTTTCTGGGGGGTAGGAGCCTTTTATAACCACCTCGCGCACTCACTCCCAGGCTTCTGTCAGATCGGGCATGATTACTTCTGAACTCCTGCCAGTTCGGATGTCA